TTGCTTTTCGTTTGAGTTTCTGTTATCACGCATGGAACTTTGAACCACACAGTTTTAACGTAATTTAAATTCAATTTAATCCGAACATTAATTTAACTCCCAAGCATACATGCATTTAATGTATATAATTATGTAAATGTTATACGTTATGTACATATTTTTTAGAAAACTTGATTTTTAATGTAATTTCTCTATACATTCAACTCCATTATACTTTTATAATTACTACCTCTCTGACAGTGGTCAGTTATAATTCCTGCGACCCATTCAGTTGGAAATGATATTTATTTTCTCTGGATGGGGCGTAATTCAAACAACATTGCGACTGGTTAAAAATGAATGGCGTTCAATTTCCTGAAATATACACCCGGGTGCATTTGCCCGTTTTGTTGTTTTCAACTTCGGACCACGCTAAACAATAGCCTTTTCTCTTTATCGTATCGCGTACGTAAATCAATATTCGATACCTGACAAGCCACACGAAACCAGGTATGCACGTTACATACAGTTATACACGGGATTTATGATAGCTACGTGTTATAGTTCACGATAAATCATCGCAGTGCTCGATTGCTAACGAAATTATTGCATTTCTTTTTTTGCAAATACAGCCGAAGAGTACTTGGCCAAATGTAATAAATGAAGATGTATGAAGCTCCGGAGCTAAAAATCCCATTGCATGTGCGAACGCATAAAACGATTGTTCCATTTTAATTTATTAATGGATCTCATTGAATATTTATATGAATGCACGGGTGAAGAACTTTTTGCGGGTAGTACAAATCCAGCTGTCTCTGAAAGAAACGAGAGATGATCTTCGGTTCAACAGTAATTTGTCTTTTATTCAAAGGACATAATACATTTACTTGGGTGACAGTACCAAAGGAGTACTTCAGTTCGTGGGAACAACTATAATTCATCTCTCGTCTTTCCAAAAATGATAAATTACAATTATTTTCGGTTGAGATCTTCTTTTCAAGATTCTGCGTTTCTCGAAAAACTTTTGTTATTGTTATACCAGCTTCCTCTTTCACTATTGTTCTTCGTCACATCTTTTTGAAAAATTGAAAATATGTCCCCGGTTATCTAATAATGAAGATAAGTACTCTAATAAAAATTAATATGATGAACGATAAAACTGAAAGTTCACTCGATTGAGAAACTTCGGACACGCGAACTGACAGAATTAGAATCGTCTTTTATTTTCTTAAATGGGTCCGGTTAAAGTCAATATAGATTCGATGAATAATGAAAACGAGAATCAAACGAGTCCAGGTAAAACTTCTCTTACTTACTTTGCCACGTCTACTCGGCTTCTTCTTTTTCTTCTTCTTCTTCTTCTACTTTTATGTCCCCCTTTCCTTTCAATTTTATTTTAAACACTCACTCTTTATTTTAATTTCACGCACTCTTGTTATCAATTGTTACGAAACAAAAACACGGACGAAGGGAAAAGCAAAGCGGGGATGAAACGAAAGGGTAGAAGCGCGAACCGAATTCGCGGAAGTTCTCCACGTGACTGATGCTACCTAGAGAAAGCTAAACAGAACTGTCTGATCGGAGAGGACGGAGCTTAACGCGCAAGCTCCATCCTCTCCAACTATTCTACGACTGTGCACGTACGTATATATAGATGCTTTCTATCAACCCCCTTTCCCCACTACTGGTACCACTTCAGGCTGCCTTGCGGAAACACACGGTGCTGAGTGCCGTTTAAGATCCACTTCTCTTTATTTTCGTTCATCCTTCACGTAATTTGTAGATGGGCTAAGAAAATTCAATTAGTTCGCTTGTAAAAATGTACAGTTATACTTAGAACACGGATTCATAAGTAAACTAAATTTTTCGACGTATCAATTTAAAAAATAAAATTTCAACTGAGGGAATCTTATTATTATAAATAATTCATGTACACGTATGATCACTGCTTTGAATCATATTTGGTCAAGAAT